TTATAAGTAGGGATAAATAAAAATCGTGATAAGTTTGTCAAGGAATGATCGTATACAATTCAAATTCTGAACGCGATTGGAATTATGACTTAGAAAATGAAATAATCAAGGAATATAATATAAAGAAATTGCTTTTTGTTAAGTAATTGTAAAATATGAGTAATAACAAATTTATTGCATTATTAACATTAATGTAAAAAAAAAGGAAAATTTTAGCATCGGCTATAATTAATTGTATAGGTTAAACAAAAGCACAATTTCTTGAATTATATATCGATACAATGCAATTTCGTAGTTGTCAAAATATAATGACTAGCTATATATTAAAGAAAAAAAAAATTGATTTGAGAGAACAAATTTTTTCATCTCTACAGTATAAATACGACAATTGTTTTATATTATTTGACTCGAGACGTGACACTTTATGAAAGTCATATTTTTAAATAAACGTACAATGAACGTAATCATATATATATATATATATATATATATATATAAATATTTGTAGTTTTAGATGAAGGGATCGCCGAGTAATTGATTTTCTTGTATTTAGTACCATTTGGGTTGGTCGGCTGTGCACGGCGGATGGACGGTGTCGTGGAAATCAAGAAAAAACTCGCGACCGCGTCGGTCCCGTACTCACTACTTTCCCGTACTTTGCCTCATCCCTATCCACCCCTTATGCTTAACTTCTCCTCTATCATTTTTTCTATCATATTAGTTTTCAAAATGGTATTGGATTAAGAAGGTCGATATTTTAATTTAATTAAAAATCTATAAAAATTTTATAACGATAAATGACTAAATTTCGAAAGTACGCTAGAAATTTTTAATCATCCTTCTATTACGTATGTTTATTTTTTTACTAAAGAAATGTATTAATTGAGTAATGAAATGTATTATGCAAGTTTTATGTTACATTAAATGTTATCGATTTGATTGAGTACTTTTGAGCAGATTCATGATTTAAATTTTGAATTTTCAATTAGAATTTCAAACATGTCGAAAACATTTTTGAAACTGCATTTATTGAATTTATTTCAAGTATATTGAAATTCATTCCAACTATTTAAATTATTTACATTATACAATGTACCTTTGTCTTAAATTACATATATTTGAATATTTTGTACATAAAGTATTGAATAATTCTTTATATATACGTGATTGATGTAACATAGTAATATTTTTACATCAATATTATACACTTATAATGTAAATATTTAATTCTACTTTTAAGTTACTACGAAATAATATTAAATTTACTCAATAGCAGTAAGTATTTATGAGAAATAGTTATCGTTTTTCGAATTTGCTTTCAAAAGTTAAGTTTTTAAATTTATAAGAAATAATAATTTATTTAATTTGTTAAATATACTATTAATAATTATTGTTTTAAGCAATGCCGAATAGTGTATTGTAAAATTTTAAACGGTAATATCATTTATAATCAAAAATTGAATAAAACGTATAAAATTTTCTTAATTATTTCTATATGAATATTACCTTATTTAAAATTAAGGTTATATTAATAATGAAAATAATCCATTTATTAATTTATATATATATATATAGTAGTATAAGTTCGAATATATGTTTATAGGATAAAAGTATTTTATTATAACTCAAAAGTTCAATGAGATAATTAGTAAAGGAATCTAAATTTATAAAATTAAATATCTATGATAGTTTTTTTCAAATATATTTATTCAATTATAATATCAAACTCAATCTAGGAATTTTCTCTTTACATCATTTTGATTTGGCTGGTTTCCCTAATATATATATATATATATATATATATATATATATATATATATATATAGGTGTTCAAATGTTCAATATATGTGCTCAAGCTATTAGACACGGACTGAAGAAAGAGAAAGTTGTGTAAAGAAACAGAAGATGAGCTCCGGGAAATAGAGATTCATAAGGACTGAAATGAAGGAGACAGAAAGAGAGATGGAAAGAGGGGCGAGCTAAGTTTTAATTAATGTAATGGAGACTGGTGCGTGATTAGCCTTCCAACCAGCGATATCTTTCTCTTTCTCGCGTCGAACATTGCCAGGATATGAGCTTAGCTGTGCTACTAGACTAGAGAAATCCGGTAAAGCTTACCTCTTTAGATGAAAAAGGAAGAGCAAAATGATCTAAGGATGAAAACGTGATTGAGTATTGGAGCGACTTTCGATCTTATGAATTAAAATTAATGATAACAATATTTAAAGTAATCGCATTCATAAATTATTTTCCAAGAGTAGTCAACACTTTTATTCTCACTGGCATCGCTATAGAAATTTTATAGCTCATCTTTTTATTTATAAATATATGTTTCTCATTTCAAAAGATAAGGTAAAATGTTTCAACTGTACAATATTCTGATATTATTTATAAATATACTATTATTATGAAGAAAACCACTGCTTATCGTATAGTGAATGAAAGGTATTAATAATATTTTCTCTAAAATGAAATATTATGTTTTTTTTTTCTTTCTTTCTTATCAAATATATCTTTCATTTAAGCTCTTACAGAGCCTTACATAATTAATTATTACAACATATAATTTCAAATATAAAGTATTCCTTAACTACATAACGTCGAGTGTGATACATATTGGCATGATATTTGTTATTTTCAAATGCTAATACAATGTTAGAAAAATATAAATTACATTACGCTGGATTTTATATGATTAAGTTTTAATTATTTTATTTATAAAATCATCTAAAAAAGCCAATTGCAACAATTTTATTACCTCTGCAATTTTACAGTACTTTTTATGTACAATATTAAAAGCAACTTGTTGACGGATCTGTTTTAAGAAAAAATATAAATATATTATAAATATATTATTAACGTGATGTTGTTATCGAATGTCAAGCAACGACCATAAAATTAGGTTGATTTATTGAAAAACTGCGTATATAGTAAGTATGTTGTTACTTTATAGGGATGTGAAATCAGTTGCATAAATCGATGATTACATATATTATTCTCGGTTAATTAAAATAATCGGAGTAAGAATTTCTTATTAAAAATAAAAATTTTACTTTAAAATATCAACATACTTTAATCACTTTCTTTCTTATTAACTCATTTATTTTAATTAAATTATTACTTTTTTCAACTATAAATAATACAAAGTATATAATGTATACTTTTGTATAATTATTATAATAATAATAAATATAAACATGTGTATTATTATAAGTTTAAATTAATTTTATTATCTTAAACTATACGATAAAAGTTCCATCACATTTATAAAAATGTTTAATGTCAGAAAATACTTGATGTTTTTTAAAGTCTTAAGTGTGATAATTATTAAAAATTCTAAATTGTTTTCATTAATTGCGTTTACTTTTGCAATAAAAGTTATAAAATTCTTTACTTTACTTTAAATTAATTCATTTTTCTATAATATTCAGGAATTATAGTATCCAGTATTTTCAGCAAACCATAAAAGTACTTTGTTTGTTTATTAATATTTAAAAATAATTACAATGTTATTTTTACTATATAACTTTATTATTGGAAATTGCCGACAATATAAACAATTAATACACAGCTAATATAATTTATTATTTATATTGAATTAATAATTTTAAATTAAACATGTATCTATAATGAAGTTTATTGATAGTTCTTATTGGATTATATTTTATTATTTTATATTATATTATATTATATTATATTATATTCTTATCAACCCAACATGTGTGCATTTATTGGCAAACAATGTATTTTACCACATTTACATACGTATTTGCACAGTATTGAGTCGAATTCGAATTTAGCTAGTTAGCTAGAGAGAGTACATAACGTATACATATAAAGTGAATCTCATAATACGTCGTTCAGCTGATAATAAACTACACTGTATTCAGCCAGAGAGCCGTTGAATATTCTACAGAATCCCGAATAGAATTAGAAGAGAATTTATAGCTTCATATGTATGTGAAAAAAAAAATGAGTTGGAGAGGGAGAGAGAGAGAGAGAGAGAGAGAGAGAGAGAGAGAGATAGAGAAAGATAGTATAAAAGTGTAAGAGAATCCTTGGAAGATTGAGAATGAGCGAATAAGGATAAAAATGGAGAATGATGAAGGAAGAGAGTGATAGTGAAAGAAGCTAAGGAAGCACGAGTATGATAGACTAGAAGATGAAAGGAAAGAAGTGAAAAACGTAAATTATTCTTGGATTCAGGGATGCTGCTAATACCAATAAAATAATCATAAAAAGCTGCACAATAGTTACATAAAGATACATATGTTTGTATATTATTATTAATAATTGTAATTTTTCATTGTGAATTATTTTTTAATTTTTATTTCACATATAATATATAATTATTGATAATGGGCCTTTAGATACTTTTTTTTTTTTTACCGAATTTTTACATTAAATTAAGGTTCAAGATATCTAATAATATATATAATTTGAATTCCTAAATTTGTTTGTTTTGTTAGTAACTAATTAAATACAATATAAATGCGACAGAATTTAATACAGATTGTATAAATATTAATCAATTGAAGAGAAATGCATTTATTTATGTAATTAAAATATTTTAAAAGTATTTTAAATGAATTTTGAATTCCAAAATTTTACTTTATCCATACTGCTATAACGTTTACTTAGATTAACATACTTCTTTTTTCTTTTTTTTATCGTATCTTCCATTCATTTGAATTTATAGTAAATATATAAATTTCACTTCATAAAGATAGTACATAAATTTCTGTAATCAAGTATAATTATATTTAATAATTCTTTATGAAATGCTGTATGATAATCATACTTATAATTATCATTTGGCAGAGTTTATAAAAGGGAATATTTCTCAAATATTCTTTAATTCAACATATAAAAATTTTTAATATACATGTAAATTATATTAAGCTTTATTATCTGAATTTTTTCGTTCTATTTTTCGTTTTAGAAAAATTGAATAGGATGGAAGAATATTAAATAAATGAGAAATTAGGATAACGACATACCCATCGTAAATGAGGAACTTATCGCCGTCTCCTTCTATGCATTGACCCTTGTTAGATATTCGTGTTCCATTGATAGTAATTAGAGTTTTTTCGCCCGATTGAAACCAACTTCCTCTCCATTGCGCTGGAAATTCACAACCTGAGCCTGTAAATCGGTAATGCACTAAGTCATTTTTAATACCAAATTGCTATTAATATTTCTTCCACTAATTTTTAATTTTTTTTCTCCTTTTTTTTTATTAAACATATTATTTATAATTATTTATTCTTTCACATTGTCCATATTATTGTTAATTATTAATTATTTAAAATATTAATAATATTATATTATTCATTATATATAATGTATATTTATTTCAATGTAGTATTTAAAATTAATATCCATATAATTTAATGAAAAAATTGTAAATTACGTATTATTAAATGATAATTTTAATTTTAACCTTAAAATAATAAAAAATTGAAATATTGATATATAAATAAATATGTAGGAAAGTTTAAGGAACGGTAAAGCATGTGATGGATTATTGTTATTCAATTGATTATTGTTGATGGAAGTAAGCATAGTCATTGTTGAAATCATCATACTCATCATAATCATAACTTTTATTAATATTTATTGTACATATTTAACAATATATATTAGCTTATCAATAGAACATTATAATTATTTTTAAATACTGTCAATTAGTAAATGCACGAAGAGTATAATGGAAATTTCGACATTATATGTCGTTATTTAGATTTTTCAATATTTTTAACTTGTTTTATGTTGAAAAAAATAAAATCATACATTCATCTGCTCTATTTCTCATTCGTTTGGTATGAGGTATGGTACGTGAATTCCTATAGCAGTATGTCAGATTTTTATTCAATTATATACTTTTCATCATAATATAAAATAAACTTTAATCAAATTTAATTAAATTTTTTTAATTTAAAATTTATAATTTCCATAATTCTAAAAATATTTCTTTTAAATTATATTACTTCATTTAAATAGTATTACTTTCTTTTAATGCGCACATATAACTATTACAGATAATAATATTATGAGGTTGTAAACGACCTCACTAAATCGAGTAAAACCTCTATAATACTAAATTAATCTACCTGGTAATTCATAGGAATGGTATACCAAAGTCAAATTACATAATGGTGATAAGCATTAATATTGCCTTTGTATTAGCAACTTAATGATGTTGGACCATCATCAGGCCTCTATTTATGCTATTTTGTTCCGAAAAGTTCATATAATTTTTTAAGAGTTTTCTTTAAAAAAAAAAAAAAAATTGATTTAACTATTAGGCTATGTGATTATACTTTGTGTCTGTAAATTTCCGTAAAAATAAAAGTATGTATAAATGTAAGTTGATAGGGTTTGTGGAAAACGGATATTTTGTAGTAAGCAGATTATGTTTGGTAAGCTTTTTTCGACAAAATTAATATCATACATTTTTATCTTCCGAGCTTACATATAGTTTTTTCCAGAATAACATTTCAAAAAGAAGCTATATTTCCTCTATGTTTATGTTTTTCAATTAAGGAATAATATATATATATATATATATATATATATATATATATTTATATAGAAAATGTTTAAAAAATATTTTCTCACGAATATGAAAAAAATTTTTGGAAAAATTTGAATCGGTAGGTTTTGCCATATTAATGAAAAATGCAATAGATCGTCGTATTAGATACTCGAACAGTTATACAGTAAAAATAAAGTAAAAATCCTTTTAAGAAGAAGTAATTGTAGACAAATTTTGTTATAACTAAAAAAAAAATTTAAAAATTATCCATAAATTAATGTATGTACATACATTACATTCCATACATGGACGTACATAATCAACTGTACGTGTAAAAAAAAAGTATAATGAGTTAACTTCAATATGATTTCATATGCTTTCTTTTAAATACGATATGAAAATTAATAAATATTAGCTATGTTTTAGTGAGGCTGAATTCTTAAAATTATAATTGACGAATGAAATTTATACGCTAATAAACTATACAGGTTAAAATTATTAACCAACTGCTATTTGTATTATATTATTTATAAGTATTAATAAAGTAAATTTTAATTTTGAATAAAGTATAATTTTTATCATTAAGTTTTTTACTTCTATGATTAAAATTTCGTTTGAAAATGCTCATAACTTTAACAACGGCTAAAAGTTCATATTGGAGGTAATGGCATGTAGATGCTCGAATGACTGTTTAAATGAAAAAATAAAATGGCTACAATTAATAAGTGATCTTTTAACGACTGGAGGTTCTTGAACTTGAGATAGTAACATAAAAATGACAGGGGAGAAATAAAGAAGGAAGCGATAGATGGAAAAAAATATTAGATAGAGTAGGAGAGTACGGTTAAGGTAACAAGGGAGCGGCCTGAAGCGGAAGAAACCAAGAAACTTTGTTCTTATGGCCTTTCTAAGTTTCCAGAGGAAAAGAATGAAGTAAAAAGAAAAGAAAAAGAAAAAAAATAAGAGAGACCTTCGCCTTCGTCGGTAGCTGCAACTTGGCTTCGGTATCAGAACAAAAATAAGGCAAGTCTACCTTTCATAAAAGTAGACGCTATATTTTTACACAAGTAGACCTTCACTTTTCATAAGAAGTGATTGATTCGTTTAGAAATTAAGAAAGTTTTAAAAGTTTAAGAGTCAGTCATCAACAATTTTTTAATGCTTTTCGGATATTTATAAGTATGTGTTAAAAAATTTACAACAACATCGCAAATATTTATCATGCATTTACAATTGAATTTATAACTGAGGAGAAATTTCGAATTGTTATATAAATAATTAAATTCTAGCCTCGATATATAATTATATTATACATCATCTTATATAAATATTTATTTCAAATCTAGCTGCACTCATAAGCCATAATATAAATACGAAAAATCTCATCGATTCGATCAAATTCAATTCCTAGAATTAGAATTGCGTTAAAAAAATCAAGAAATCAAAATATAAATTAACAATGAATTTAACACTTGCAAATATTACTTTATTACGTGAGTATTTAAACCAATGGAATAAATAACATTTACGTCGATTTGTACCGTATGTTATCATTGTGCTGTTATGTGTGAATGTGTGCGTTAGTGTGTGGAAACACGCGCTCATATATATATAGACTTATGAAGGCATAAATCATTGCAAATATAATTCAATAGAATATTGGCTTATGCTTTATGATTTTATAAAATGAATTCATAAAAAGATCTGAATATTTTTATGCAATAATATTTGGAAAATCAATGCCTGAAAGATGGAAAATTCACGGAACGCGGATTCTTAAAATTATTTTAGTCTATCGGCATTTTATATATTTCCGTTCAATGAAAATCGCCGAGTAAACAGTCCAGACTTGTCAATGCTCTGAACCATAAAAATTCAAGCAAACGCAGAATCCATTTGTTTTCCGTTTCAGATGCGAAAATAATGTCATGCAATTGGCAGTGGCACGAGCAACTTTACACATGTACACGTAAAATACTTACCAGGGAAATTTAAAAACAAAACTTTACGTCTATTATATATTCATAATTTACATTACGATTACATTTAACTACATTTAAGTACTATTTCATTTTTATAATACAAAATTATATAAAATTAGATAATGCTATTAAATCATGCGGTATTTTATAGTTCTTTTATATCTTATTGATTGTAGTTGTCATTTTATAATTTAGTAATTTGAATCTTTCATTTGTATCGATAAAATCTGCAAATAAACAATTATATTTGCTTTCCTTCTTATTTAACTTCTTCTCCCTAAACTTTACTGATTCCTTTTCCTTAATTCGTTCAATGACTACAAATATTTTCGTATTTTCTTTGGAATTTTAAAATGTTTAATATTCGATCAATACGCTATTAACTAAGCTTGTGTAATAGAATTGCAATACATTAAATTGATGTGTCTTTATAACCAACGGTTCTGTCATAAAATTAGGAAGAATGATATTTAAGATGGTAAAATAAAAACAATAAAGTTTAAAGACATTATAAAGATTGAGCGAAAGAGGCTTTGAGAGGGTTCGAAGGTGGCTGAGTGAAAATGAGAACGAAAAAGATAGTAATAATGAGAGTGAGAGAGTAAGACGCGGGGAAAAATTGAGCTTGTAAGAAAGAGGGGCGAGGGGGAGATAAATGATGAATTTATTTAATTTTACACAGTTTCTAATAATGTAATTTTTAATAAAGTATTTATGTAAATATTGCATCCGGCATATATACACACACACACACACATGTATATATATATATATATATATATATATATATATATATATATATGTTATAGGTGATTACTCCTTGAGTAAAAATCTACTGCACAAGTCATTATAATAATACGGATGATGCAATGTGATTGAAGAACATTTACGAATGAAAAAAAAAAAAAAAAAAAAAAAAAAAAAAAAAATCTCGTTCAATTTCGTATGTAAAAATTTTTGTTTTGTCCTAATAACATTATACATGTAATCAAATTTAACACTATAATTATAAATTTACTATAAAGATATATTAAGTATTTAAGAGGGATTGTGTTAAACCCTCTAGTCGAACAGAAATATGTATCATCAAAATTAAAAGTATTGAAGATTGATGGATTAAAATTTAGTATGAATAGTAAAGTGATGAAAATAAAAAAGAAAAAACTCGGTTATATGAAAATTGTTCAAAGTATGAAAAAACGCGCGATACCGATATTGGCAGGTGATTTTATTTTAATGATTTGTCTTTTCTTATCGAGGTTTAGCCTATTATGGGAGCATCAATATTGATGATTGTGAAAACGTTTATGGAAATGAAGTGATATTTCGTGCAATTCACTGTATATCGTAAATATGTTTTTTTTTTTGTTGAAATGTTATTGAATCGGCGATATATGTACGAATGGAGATTTGATAATAAAATTGATTCATCATCGCAAATATGTATTATAATTGTAGCTGGAATTATATTTGCCTATTGTATAAAATGTTGTAACTACTAATGATTTGTGAGAGTGCGAAGCTTACAAGAAAAGAAAACCAACAATAATATTCTTAGCGGTATTATTATTTATTTGATAAAAAGTATAATGTGTGTGAAATTTATAATAGAATCAATCGACTTG